TTTCTGTTTTCCTATGCATAAATGCATCATGACTTTTATGATAACCCAATATTTTCAACCTTGAGTTCTATACCCAGCTAAAGTAGTGACAATGTGACAAGAGAATAATAACATTTTAAAACATGTGAAGTTTTTGTTTGTTTGTTTGTTTGTTTGTTTGGAGAGGTTTTCGCTATAGGGCGCGTGCACTCACCAGACAGACAGAGAGAGACATAGAGACAGAAAGCGAGAAATCACCCCCCAGGGGGGATGGTCACACCGCAATCCCTTCTCCTTCATTCTCCTCTTGGGATCTTGGGCACGCACACATATGCGCCCGGTGTGAGTTTTAAGCCACCGGGTCCGGGAGGTGAACCGTGGTCGACTACGTGGGAGTCCAGCGACATAGCCATTACGCTAACTGCTGTTTCCCAAACATGTGAAGTTTTAACAAATTTACATCCTATGCAGACTTTCTCAAGATGCTACTGGAGAGAAGGCACTGCTCACTCAAATAAAGGAATAAATCAAGAAAGAAGATATGGGACTAAGAAACAAGGAACCTAACTCAGAGGCAAAGGGAATCCCTAAACTATAGTGAGGTCAGCTGTAGAACAGGAACAGATTAGTACAGATCAGAAAGCTCCTAAAGAGATGTCTCTAAGAAGGTGGAATAGATAAAATATGTAATGTGTTTGAAAGCTTTGGGAGGGAAATTCAGGCATTTGGAGAGTTTGGAGATGACTTACTGGTGACATGGTGAACTAAGCAAAATAATTATTACAATTCTAAGGAAAACATGAAGTTGTAAAAAATAAAAAGTAACTATGGGCTAGCCTATGGCCTGGTGGTTAAGGTGGCTGGATCTCACATGGCTGACTGTATGGTTTGAATCCTAGATCTGGCAACTTGAAGAACATGCTGAGAACCCCAAAAGGAGGGAAGAGATGGAAGAGATTGTGGTGTGACCATGCAGAACACAGGGTTGCTTTCTTTGTCATATTCTCTGTCTCTCTCCAGTGAGCACATGTGCCCTTTGGCAAAATTTTAAAAAACTACATGGTTTATTGTGAATAGCATTCCCAAACCTAAATGAAGTAAATACTGAACAGTTTTATTACCTATTGGGAGTACGGGGAAATGGAAGGGTATCTGTATGTCAGGGGAGTGGGAAGTAGGATGAAAGTTAAGTGAGAAATCAGTAGAAAACACCTGAAACTTAGGGCCAGACAGTGGTGCAACAATAAAATGCGGTCATCTGTGAGGCAATCCCTCACAGGATGGTTCCCGGTTCAAGTCCAGAGACCTCCCTCAGTATACCGGGCACACACTTGACTGATCGGGGGACTGACTGAAGGCTGGGGATGGATTGTGGCATCAAGACCTTTTGGAGGGTGTTATTCCTCTCTGTCTTTCTTACTCATGGGAGAAATTAATAGACTTAGAGAGAGAAAAGAAAATGCCTAAAATTTAAAAATGAAGAAGGGCCAGCAGGTGGTGTAGTGGTTAAGGTGCTAGTCTCCCACATGGCAAACCACAGTTTGAGACCTGGACCCAGTGGCTTGAAACTCACGCCAGGCACATGTGTATGTATACCCAAAATCCCGAGAGGAGAACAGAGAAGGGATTGAGGCATGGTTGTACCCCCTGTGGGGGAGGTGATTTCTCACTTTCTTTTTCTCTATAAAAAAAAAAAAAAAAGAAAAAAGAAAAGGTGCTGGATCCCATATGACTGGTTGTGTGGTTTGAATCCTGGACCCAGAGGCTTGAAAGTCACACCAGGTACATTTGTGCACATGCCCAAAATCCCAAGAGACTGGAGGAAAAAGGATTGTGTTGTGGCACCCTCCTGTGATTTCTCCCTCCCTCCCTGCTCCATATCTCTCAGGCAAGCACATGTGCCCTATAGCAAAAACAAACCAAAATCAAGAAGTAGCAATATAAGCTTGTTACTTGGAGGTTAGGGGGTAAATTCCAAAATAAACAGTTAAAAAATTAATAAGAGTTGTTTCTGGGCAGTGAAAAGAAAACTAGGATGGGAGAGCCAACAGACAGTGTGGTAGTTAAGGTACTGGACTCCCATATGGCTGACTGTGGTTCGAGTCTTGGACCTGGTGTCTTGCTTTCTCACTTTCCCTTTCCCCCTCTCTGTCTCTGTGTGGTCAAATTAAATAATAATAATAATAACAACAACAACATCAAAACTGGGATGGGGAAACAAATACTGTTCATGGGTTCATAAGTCCTATAGAACTGTTTGTCTCTCTACGTACACCTATTACTTTGATTAAAAATAAATGTCAACAGGGGACCAGGAGGTGGTGTGGTGGTTAAGGCGCTGGACACTCCCACATGGCCGACCATGGTTCAAGTCCTGGACCTGGTGGCTCACTTTCCCCCTTTCTCTCCCTTTCTCTCTGTCTCTCTCTGGTCAAATTAAAATAAATGAATGAATAAATAAAAATTTAAAAAAAATGTAAATAAAACTAAACTAAACATTGTGTTGTGGCAGGACCTGGGGTTCACAGGGAAGTGTGCTGGCTGTGAAGCTAGAGATGGGCGAGAGCCATATTATCACAGACGTTTGAATGGCAGCTGCTAAAGTGTTTTGATTTCATTATCTGAGAGCTGTCAGTGAGGCAACCCATGGCCTAGAACCTGGGACTGATTCCTTCTCCTATCCCAGCCCCTGAGTTTTCCTGGCAGTCTAGTGGTTTGGATTCAGGGCTCTCTGAGAGCTGTGCGAAGCCCATAAAGGCTCTTGAGCAAGGAAGGAGGGGAGGGCCAGGTTCAGACTTGCATGAGGAAGGTAACTCAGTATATCTGAGCTGGAAAGGACCTTGGAGATTACCCAGTAAGTCAGTTATTTCCACTAGAGTCTGGGACTAGTGTGTGGTGGAGGGATGCCCTGAATCCCCCGCCACTGAGATTCTGACCCTTGTGCTTTTTTTCTTTTTTTCCTATAGGGCGTGTGCACTCACCAGAGACAGAGAGAAAGAGAGAGAGAGTGCACCCCTCCTCCCAAACCTGGGAAGGTGGCTACACCACAATCCCTTTCCCTCCATTTTCCTCTCAAGATTTTGGGCACACACACTCATGTGCCCAGAGTGTTTTTTAAGCCAGCTCCAGAACTCGCTTAGTGTGTCACATGAGATTCAGTTGCCTTAACCACCCTGCCACCTGCTGGCCCTGGATTCTGACCCTTCTAAGCTCTGGCCAACTCTTCCTTCCCTAAGCACCTGCTACCAACACCCTTAAGGGACGAGGGAAGCAGGTTAGTGCACTCTTTGTTCCCTAGCTCCTGCCTCCTTTTGGCTCAGTGTACTTCCCGATTAACACTCTATTGTGTGGCTGTTTCTAAGTCTTAGTGGCGAATCAGGACTAGTTCCATAGTTAATTCCCTAC